GAGGAAGAAACTGTGGTTCCTTTTTGGGCATGTTTGCCTCTGTGCCTCTAGCAAAAGCTCTCTGGGTTGGAACAAGGAGCAGCAAAGTGTGTGGAGCAGCACTGACCTTGTCTCCCCCAGGAGCAGTACATGCAGGGCATCTGAGGTCTTGCTGGATCAGGGCTGGCAGAGGCTATTTATAAGTTTTGGATTAAACAAACAAATGCAGAAGCTGTTCTTTGTGCTGCAAGGGATGAAGCCAGAGTTGTGGACTTAGAGATCGTGGTTAAAGAGCTGAAGCCCCTGTCTCAGCCACAAGCTGATGTTCCTTGTATTTGCAGCATTGTCCTTTGCTGAAGGGAGGGGCATGCAGCAGGAATTGCACTGATAAGGGCATGACATATGTCACAAATTGAAGCCATACACAGAACAGGGCATTCTCCCCATGTATGTGATGTGGGGACTCAGCTGCTGCAGTGTGTGAGAGCCCTGACTGACCTTGCATTAGCAGAGAGGGACCTTGAACTCTTACAGCCTGCAGAAAAGTCAGGAGTGGATTCACTGAGACAGAAAGGTAAAATAAATGCATGTCTCTTTCAGCACTTCCCTCCATTTGCTCCATATCATAAATATCAATACAAATATAGAAATACAGAGGTAAACAGTTTGCCCAGCCTGCCCTTTCCATATGCATGCATTTCTGCTGTGAAAAGCTTTATGTAACTCCTGACAGCAGATTGCAAAATAATGCCTCAGTTATGGAAGGAAGCCACAAGCCATTACATTGCATTACTCTAATGTAATGGGTCCCTGAGATGAACCAGATTTGGAGAGCTTGCTTTTATTGTAAACCTTGTGCCCCATCCAGCCCACGGGCATTGATTTCTCTTTGTTTTCTCCAGAGATCAAAGACCACGAGGCCAGAATAGCAGCTAGACCGGAACTGAGCCGCTGGGGTTTTGGCCCCAAACAGAAACTCATGAGACAAAACTGTGCTGTTTATTTGAAGGGATGCAATACCAGTGACAGAACTTCTTCAGGTGGATGCTGATGACCAATCTGCTGAAAGGTGAATTTCTCATTAGCCTAGAAAACTGACACTGTAATAATTAACCTCTTCCTATGTTTTTTTGCTAAGTAAAGGCTGCTGTGACAAGTGCTGCCATCATTTTAATTTTTTAACTGAACGTAGGGAAAAGACAAAAAAAGAATCTGTATTTACTTTGTTTTTCTCCTGTGCAAATGTCACACCACTTTCATGTTGGCAGTAAGTGCAGAAGTGCTGATTCAATCACTTATTTGCATAATCCCTTCAGATTTTTCTTTTATATCATTGTTGATAATGAAAAGATTTTCTCAGATGGGAAAACAAAGGGAAGCAGGCAAGTTCTGAATGTGAATAGGCTGACGTGACATAAAAAGATGGTAATTTGCATTAGTAAGAATGATCAGAATGTGGATGATTGAAATGATGGTAAATAGCATCTATCCCTACCTGCCCTGAGGAACATCCACCCCGTGGCAGTTCACCTGCAGCATGTGGAGCAGCCCTACACCCATTGTTTGACACGGCACAGCAGAGTCCAGTGTAATTAGCACAGAGCATGAAGGAACTTTGCAGAGAACACTTTTAAAATACCCACATTCACACGTGAATCAGTGCAGCACAGCCAGTGTAATTAGCACAGAGCATGAAGGAACTTTGCAGAGAACACTTAAAATACCCACATTCACATGTGAATCAGTGCAGCACAGTAAGGAGGAGCAGAGGCACAGCTCAGGGCACTGCTGGCTACAGAGCCATGTGGCTTTGGGAAGGCTCCTGCAACAGGGAAGGAAATGCAGGAGTTCGCTCTGCACATAGTCCTGGAAATATAGAGCTCTTGATAAGCTACTTCTGTGAGATGACTGAGCAGGAAAGATGTGGCCCTGGAGCAGCTGCCCTGCCTAGAGATGCACAGTCTGTGCTGTGTCTTCGTTGCACAGCCTCAGTTCTTATTCCCAGAAGCCCGGCTCAGGCTGTGCCCAGCAGCTCAGGGGGATGCACTTCCATGGCTGGGGGAACCAGGGCTGCCTCCTCCCCAGAGCCTCAGAGGCAGAATGACCAAAGACACCTCCAGCAGCTCTTGGGGGCACTTGGTGTGTGAGGATTGCTAATGGAGACAAACACGAGAGCAAGTACCAAAGTGTCAAACCCGACACAGCACGCTGACAGCAAAGTGCAAGGTTTAGCTTAGAGAGGCCAGCGTAGAGCTGCAACCCTCAAACAAATCTTTTTATTAAAGCAGGGTGTGTGTTATTTTTAAAAAGCAAACTGGATGAGAGAGCTCAGCTCCATTATCTTGAAGAGGATTGGTCCGGTAAGGAGAGAGTTAGCAGTGCAGGGAGCAGCCTGCTGCCACTGCAGCTCAGACTCTGATAATCCAGTGAGAGCTCTCTTGAAGATGAAACACATCTTCAGCCCTTCTGGAAGATTAGCAAGCTGAAAAGCAATTATAGTCACCACAGTGATTTAATAATTTCCTTAAAATCAAATTAGTATACATTTTTTAGCTGTCTCTTCCCTTTTTTAAAACTAATTTAACAGTATTGCTTCTGATACTGGTGTGCTGACAAATGCATATATACATTTTTTAGCTGTCTCTTCCCTTTTTTAAAACTGTAATTTAACAGTATTGCTTATGATACTGGTGTGCTGACAAATGCATTAGAAAAATTAATTGAAACAAAACTGAAAAAAATCTAAATGTTAGTACAGAAACTCCCAGTGTTCTTTTCTTAATAATTCTTTCAGGAGCTTTGCTTACCTAATTACTTATGATTGTTTTCTAGGGGCAGAATGGACTCATCTTCTGGAAGAAGTAACATTTATCTCCTGCAGCACCAAGAACCTGTGGCTCACAAGATCCTGTTTATTTTTTTTTTTTTTTGTGTTCCTGGCTTTGAGGAAGCTCCAAGACTGGGCTTGAAGGTCCCAAAGGCTGTTCCAGCCACCTAAATAAAAGCACATTTATTACTTGTGCATCAGAACTCTCTGAATGGGCAACAAAAAGTTAAGTTTATCAGGCTCTCTTTTCCTACACTAAACTCTTCCAAAGGCAGTGATGCCTCTGAAACTGCATATTGTTTACTTCAGCTCAAAATGTGATCTGTGTTTTTCTAAAGATTCAGCATGTTTTTCAACTCAACAGTCAATCTGCCCATTGTAGACTATGGCTGTGGGGGGTGGGGAAGACACAGAGCCACCTTCACACTTCAAAACACTTCCATTGCAGACCCAGCCATTAAACAGACAAATTGTTTGGCTCAGGCTGAAACCTGATGTACTCTCATTAAAGTCTGCTGGCAATTTTCCCTGAATTTTAAAGAAAGGTGTTTTGTGTTTCCATAGTAACTCCAAGTCCTTTCCTGAGCTGTCTGATGCACTGCTGGTATTACACAACCTATTGTACGAGGAGGGAGTGAAGAGCAGTGTTGAAAAGTCTACTGAATTTAAGGATTATGAAATTATAGCCACTGAGTGGGGGCTGGGGAGGGAGAGGGCAAACAGAGCAGCTTTTGGCCATGTTTTGCCAAAACATGGAGTTTAGACAGAGAACCATGGAATTGTAGAATGGTTTTGGTTGGAAGGGCCCTTAAAGATCCTCCTAGTTCCAATTCCCCTGCCATGGGAAGGGACAATTTCCATCAGAGCAGGCTGCTCGGAGCCCCATCCAACCTGGCCTTGAACACTGCCAGGGATGAGGCATCCACAGCTTCTCTGAACAACCTGTGCCAGCCTCTCAACACCTTCACAGTAAAGAATTCCTTTCTAATATCTCATCTAAACCTACTCTTAGCCTGAAGCCATTCCCCTTGTCCTGTCACTGCTCCTGTAAAGAGTTCCTCTCTGTTGTGTAGGCTCCCTTCTGCTACAGAAATGGCTGCAAGAAAGACAGAAGGAATGGAAAGGAGGAGAAGGAATAAGCAGGCTGAGTCACAGTGCCTGCTGCTCCTCTGTGGAGCTCTCAGAGGAGCTGAGATGAGCCGAGCTGTTTCCCAGGCTGGGCCCAAACCCTTGTTCAGCAGCACCAGGGACAGGCTGGGTCCAGCCCTGGCAGGGCCAGGTGGGTTTGGGGTCCCTTCCCAAGGAGGGAGACTCGTAGATGGCTTCATCTGCCATCCTGGGGAGCACAGCTGGGAACGCTGCTTCTCGCCAAGGCTGGCCGCCCTCTGCAAGAGGCTGATCACAGCTCCTGGGTGGAGAATCAATCACCTGACGAACGAGGAACATTGCTGGATTTTAGTGATGTCTTCTCAGAGAAACAGCTGTCTGTAAAATGCATGAAGATCCATATAACTGTGCGTCCAGATGTGTAAAAACTGGATTTTGTGCTGTTTACACACCTAATAATCACTTCTTGGATTAAACCCATTCCAGGAGGGACAAGATCAGGGAACTATGGGCCAGTCAGCCCTACCTCTCTTTAAAAAAAGACATGTTGATACAAAGTGTGTCCAAGAAGGGTAGCAAGGCTCCTGAAAGGAAACAAGGCTTCGAGGGTGTGTTTTATGAGGAGCGGCTGAGGGAGCTGGCTTTGTCCAGCCTGGAGAAGAGGAGGCTCAGGGGAGAGCTCATCGCTCCCTACACCTGCCTGAAAGGAGGCCGCAGGGAGGCGGGGGCTGGTCTCTCCTGCAGTGAGGACTCTCAGAAATGGCCTTAATCTGAGAGGGGATATTCAGATTACACACTAGAACAAGTTCTTTCACTGCCAGCATGGCCCGGCACTGGAATAGGTTGCCCAGGGAGGCGGTGGAGTCACCATCCCTGGAGATGTTCAAGGGGTTTCTGGATCTGGCTCTGTGTGACACGGTTCAGTGGTTACAGGGCTGGATCGGTGGTTGGACTGGATGATCTCGGAAGTCCCTTCCATCCCTGACGATCCCACGATTCCAGGAATATTTCCGTGCCGGCCGGCCCGCGCCCGGAACCATCGCGCGGCGCCGCCGTTCCCGCGGGGACGCCGCCAGGAACGGACGGCGCCGCACGTGAGGGCGGCGGCAGGCGGAAGTGATGGCGGCGGGGGCCCGGCGGCGGCGCGGCGGCGGCAAGCGGCGGTAAAGCGGCCACAGAGCGGCGGGGCCCGACATGGCGGCCCGCGGGGCGCGCCTCTGCTCGCTGCTGCTGCTGCTGGCCGCACTGGCAGGCCTGGGCGCCGAGGCCAAGGTGAGCGGGGCGGGGGGGACGGGTCACGGTGGTGCTCCCGGTACCGGGCCCTCCCTCGGCCCGCCGCCCCCGCCGGGCGCTGGGTTCCCGCGGGTGGTTCCGCCTTCCCGGCCCCACTGCTGCCCCGGGAGGCTGTAGGGGAAGGCCGGAGCCGGTGGTTTCGTGCGGGCGCTGCCCTGCCCTGCCCGGCGGAGGAGCAGGGCCCGGCGGCGCGGCCTCGGCGCCGGCCCCGCTTCCTGCGCTCCCCGCCAGCTCGCAGCCGTAGGTGTCGCTTTGCCGTGGTGCCCGGGGACACCGTCACGCAAAGCTACGAGTGGAGCTGCGGCTGGCGGGGCTGAGCTCCGCTCGCTGCCCGGCCTGAGCCGCGCTGAGTGCGAGCGCTCCGCTGCCGGCCCTGCTGCTGCGGCCGTGGCCGGGACTCACCGCGCTGCTCGGGGCCGGGAGCAGCGCCGCTTCTGCAGCACCCGCCTTGGGCTTTCCCCCAAACACTTGTGGATTTTCTCCTTTTTAATGGTAATCAGCGGCTTGACTCCTCCGCGGGGAGAGCAGAAGCGGTTTGGTGTGGCGTGTGGTATCCCGTGTGGGGTGGATTTACACTGCTCTCCTGAGATCCCCCCCTGCACTGCTGCACCCTGCTCTGGCTCCCCCCAGCACAGCAAGGACGTGGAGCTGCTGGAGCCAGTCCAGAGGAGGCCATGGAAGGGATCCCAAGGCTGGAGCACCTCTCCTGTGGGGAAAGGCTGAGGGAATTGGGATTGTTTAGTCTGGAGACAAGGTGACCTAATGCAGTACCTGAAATCCTCCCAGTACCTGAAACCTGTAAGAGAGATGGAGAAGGGCTGATTACAGGGGCAGGTGGTGTCAGGACAGTTTTACACTGTAAGGGTAGGGTTAGGTTGGACATCAGGAAGAAAGTCTTCTCTGTGGTGAGGCACTGGCACAGGCTGTGCCACCAGAGAAGCTGTGGGTGCCCTGACCCTGGCAGTGTTCCAGGCCAGCTTGGACAGGGCTTTGAGCAGTCTGGGATAGTGGAAGCTGTCCCTGCCTGTGGCAGGGGAGTTGGAATTGGATGATCCCTTCCAACCCAAAGCTTTCTGTGATTCTGTGCAGTGCAGTCAGGGTTTTCCAACTGACCTATGCTCAGTGTTACTCTGACTTGGCTGCTCAGTGTAGGAGTTCTTTACCAATACTTGTTCACACATTCTTTTGTAATGCCACTAGAAATTGCCTTGAACTTTAGATAAGCCACATTTATCCTTTGTCTCTTATTATTTGCTAAAATAAGCTTAGCATTCCTTCATTCCTTTTAAGCTCATCACTTTGTCCGACAAGCAGCTGTCCTTGTAAGCTGAGTAGTTGAGTAATCAACATCAGCAATTTCTAGGTGTGTGGTTTTTCTTGGAAAGAGGAATGAGCTTAAACTCCGTTTTTCCCCCTCAGGAATGTGTTTCTATCTCAAATAGTAATGTTACTTGACAAATTGCTCTGCTCGCTTAGTAATTCTGAAGGGTTGTTCTTAAACTTGCAGGAAGTCCTGAGTAAGACTGTTCAGAGGTACTTGCAAGTTATTTGTGTTAAATATTTCAAGTAATATGTAAAGATAATATAAATTATATAGTATAATAATATAAATGTAATATAATATAAATGAAATAATAAGATCATTTGTTCTAAGCTTGTTGTTTGCTTCACTTCTAGAACTCTGAGGATGTCCGGTGTAAATGCATCTGCCCTCCTTACAAGGACCACTCAGGCCATATTTACAACAAAAATGTTTCACAGAAAGACTGGTGAGTGTGTGTGGCACATAGAAAATGATAATAAATAAATAATCTTACTGGTTAAAGCCTTGTTCTGTAGAGATTACATATGAATCTCCTGTGGTGGTGCCAGGACAAAGCAAAGCATTTCCATAACTTACTGGAGCTTTTTTTTCAGAAGTACTCCAGAATTCAGCTCTAGCAAGGGACAAGGCTTAACCCCTGTAGTTTTTATCCTGTCTTCTGTTTTGGTTTGCTTGCTTGCATGTTTAATTGTTTATTTAGACTTGGGAGGGGTAGAAGGGAAGAAAGTGATGTGCTTTGAATCCAGTGACTTGGAATGGTGTAAAGGCAAGGCAGCACAAACCTGGAACTGGGGCTCAGGAGTATTGTGTTTGCTTGCTCTACTCTTGAAAACCATCCCATCATTTGGGAACTGTTGTTTCTGTAATTTTGTGAGGTTCCAGTAGATTTTGCCTTTTCTAGCAACTTGGAGAAGAAAAAAAATGCTGATATTAATACTTCTTATATTCTCAGTAAGAGACTTAGTAGTGTACTTAACCAACATACAAGATTTCTGCAGTACTTGGGCAGTGTATTGATGCAAGCTTTCAGTCACAGGAACAGCAATTGCACAGATGTGCCTGGCATGTAGTTTTGATTTTTGTATCTTGAATGCTGCCTTCTTCCACAGAGAAAAATGTAGCTCTGCTTTCATATAAATGAGACAAATGAACCCTCCACTCCCCTCCAGAGACTGGGAGGTGGCACTCAGCAGCTGCAGCTATGAAGAAGAAGTACAGAGAAGACAGAAGAGATGAGCTGGTGCCTGGCTGAGTGTTTGCAGCACTGTAATTTAGCCCAGTAAGGTGTTGGGTCCCAGGCTGCTGCTGTCACTTCAGGCCTTGTGTTTCACTACCTGCTGCTGCCTGTGCCAGCACTGAGGTACCAGGGGAAAGGTGAATCAGGATTCTGGTTCTGTCAGTGCTCTGCATGAACCCCAGGGGTCTGAACTCTGAACTCTGAATAAGAACCTGACTCAGCAGGAAGACCAGCATTATGTAAGTGGTTGATGGAAGCACTTGTCTCATGGCAGCTGGGTTTTAATGCTGTGCTATAGAGAGCCCATAATATTGTCAACCACACTTTTCCACAGGGGACTGACTTATATTTGGTAATCTTTTAAGTCAAATGCTTTTGCTGAAAGCTGAATGCTCTTTATTCACCGTCTTGCTGCTTAGAGAAACAACCCATCTGACTTCCTTTTTTTCCACCCAATGTCTCCACCTTGTGATGACAAGAAAAAAGAAATTCAGTTCATGAATGTTGAAGAGAAGCTAATCTCCCTTCAGACAGTAAAAGGATGGAATAAGGCTCTTCTGAGTATGGTGAAGAAAGGAGGGGAATTAGTAGCTGAAATTTACTTTTATCCATAATGTTAGTGTCAAGTGATGCATTGTGTTGGATTCATATCCTTGGACTTGTTCTGCTAACAGCTTTAATACCTTCTCTGAAAAATGAAGACATTGTATTGAGTTAGAACTTAAAACTTGTTTAGCAGCTTGTCAGTAGCTGAATTTCTCGTTTAAGTGACATAACTGTGGTGTAATGATTTATTTGTACCTGCAGTTTAGAACAACTGAACTTAAGCAAGCTGAGCTTCTCAGCTCCTGCAGCAGAGTGGAACAGCTCAGCTAAAGCCAGCTCAAAACTGACTGGGCAGTTTCTGTGTTTCCTCAGTGATTGTCTCCATGTGGTGGAGCCTATGCCTGTCCCTGGACCTGATGTAGAAGCTTATTGTTTACGTTGTGAGTGCAAATATGAGGAGAGAAGCTCAGTCACAATTAAGGTAAGAAGTGTAATTCTGTTGGCATATATTAAAGATTTCAACTGTTTAGTAAATATGTCTATTGTCTTTTAGAGAAATGGTATTTTTAAAGGGAAAACTGTTCTAAAGCAGTCTAAAATGTAACTTTTTTTGTAGTAGTTGTTCACAATCTTGAGCAGTAACGATAGCATCAACCTTTAGCTGAAGAAGAGACCCTTTATTGAAGATCTCCACTTCTGAGATCAGACTTTACACCTTGCTAAAATTCTGAGTGTTCTAAGACATTTTATCAAGCTTTGGGCTCTGTTTTCCTTATTTCAGGGGGCCTCTCACTGCACAGCTGCCTTATTTCTTACTGTAAATTTTCTTTATCTGTGTTTGTACTAACAGATGTTTTCTGTGCTCTTCACATTCTTGTCCTCTTGGAGGCCTGGACTGCTGTGGATAGACTGCAGAATGTCTTTTGGTTTTTGATAACACAGACTACTTTATTTTGGGATTTTAGAAGTTTGGTGTTTTGTTTTGCTTGGCGACTGAATTCGGGTCTGTGCTAGGCAATGGGAGATCAGTGGGGGATGCCCCAGATTTGTCACCTGTTTAATAGCAGGTTGGACAGTTGTCTCGGTGGAAGTGAGAGTTAAAACACTGAATTGTTTAAAGAGGCATAGCTTAAGATTCTTTGCAAGGTCTTAGTGTTTCAAGCTGCCCTAAACCCTTTTAATACCATGTTTGTACTTAGTTTTCCTGTCTTTCTGGGTTTTAAATCATCTGGTGACACTACCAAAGATCAAACTTTGATCAAACTCATCTTTTGGTCTTGGCTTCCTGTTGTGAGACGTGGGGGGAAATGTCACAATCTTGGCATAAACTGTGCTTGCATTATGTAGGTGACAATCATCATATACCTGTCCATTTTGGGCCTGCTTCTTCTCTACATGGTGTACCTTACCCTGGTGGAACCCATCCTGAAGAGGCGCCTCCTTGGACATTCACAGCTCATACAAAGTGATGAAGACATTGGGGTGAGTTCACCAGAGTCTTTGTGCACTTGGTTAGCATGAAAATTGGGATGGTTTGTTGAGAATTAATTATTTGGGGTGAGCAGCTTTTTTTGCCAGGCAGTGTAAATGCTTTTCCTGCTGGGAGAGGAAAAGAAAGGTGTGTGATGACACTCATTTTTCACTGGGCTGGAGAAAGCAGTGAGAACTGCTTCAGTTATGCCAGCTCTAGGCACAGAAAAGAAGCAGTGTAGGAGTGGAGGTAAGAATTATTTTGTAATAACTGCTGGGAGAGGAAAAGAAAGGTGTGTGATGACACTCTCATTTTTCACTAGGCTGGAAAGCAGTGAGAACTGCTTCAGTTATGCCAGCTCTAGGCACAGAAAAGAAGCAGTGTAGGAGTGGAGGTAAGAATATACAGGAGTACAGGTTTTTTGGAGTTAATGATCCAGTCTTGCCAGGCATCATTTTTATGGGAAGTGTTTACTGCTTAGATTACCCTCTACAAAAAGAAAGTATGGAGATTGCATCTTCTGTTGTTCCAACTGGAGTTTCTTGATGCTAAAACTTCAAGAAGAAATTGCTATAATGAAGCAGAATAGTAATGGATGATGACATAATTTCTTAGTAGTACAGCCAAAAATTGAAATGTGACAGTGTATTCCAACAGGTCAGAAGAGCTTTTTGTGGGAGAAGAAGGGTAGCAGTCCATAGTGACAGGATTTTCTGTCGTTACTGGCCTTTGCAGTCTCTAGCACTGGGTAACAATCCCATATTTTTGTTATGAGATCGGGGTTCATAAAGATAGCTGATAAAAACAATTATCTAAGAAAATGCTGATTTTGAATACTTAATTATCCCCTTAGCAAACAGAAACACCTTTTTAAGTGAAGATTGTCCCACTGTTTCTGAACTTCCCTGTGTATCACATGTAGACATGTTTCAACTGTCTTTGTATTGACAAAGCAAGATTTTCCCAGTCACCTCCAGGAGGTTTTTGGTTTGGGTTTTTTTTTTAAAGGAAGTATTTGAATGACTCTTCCTCTGTGTGCATTCTTATAGCAAATTGGGCAGCTCCAGCTTGAATTGAGTGAGCTTGTGCTGTATGCTATATCTCAAACAAATGTGTAGCTTAGATAAATTATCTTAGTGACTCCAAATGTGATTTAGTCTTTTGATTGTAGGTGGAAGAAGTGAAATAAATCCCATGGCAGAGTTCAGGTTAACTGCAGAAGGAATTTACCTCAAAGTCTGGGTCCATCTTAACCAATGTTATGTTTTGCTGTAGCTTTTCTGTGAACATAACATAATTTGAGGTCCCTTATGAATTATCCGCATTCTTGCCTTCCCTCTTGCAAGTTCTTGAGATATTCTTGTCAAGCTTCAAAACTACCATGTCCATGGATTTTGTGGCTGAATTTCAAGGCAGTATGTTCACTCTTTTTAGTTGCCCATTGGTGACAGTGGCAACTGATGAATGTAAGCCACTTCCTTGGTCCTCTTTCCTCTTAAATTCTTTTTTCCTCTTAGTGTCTACATAGAAATTGACAGTATCTAGCCTTGGAGCTGAGAATCTTATTTGTCAGGAAGGCCAGTATGATCTAGACTGTCCTGTGCTCACCCATGTGCTTTACAGTAGCAAACCATGTGTTGCTATTATGATTTTTTTCCCCTGTGAATGAAGTGACCTGTCTCCTGTTAAATGCCCATTATAGATATATCCAATTGTATTTTTTTTTTGATGAGATGATAGCTCTTTTAATCAGGGACTGTTCTGTTGTTCTCTATGGGAAATTTCTTTAATGGTCATTGTGGCTTTGGGACTCAGAGCAGTCATTTCAATAGATATCATTAATGATAATCTATGTACAGGTGAGAGTTGTCATTGAGCTGCTCTGCACAGTCATATCACAAATAAAGTATCATTGATATAAATGTCTTCAAAAATGTTCTGGAAAAAAAACCAGAATGTGAAATGTAGGGATACAAAAAGACAGTTATTTAATATAGGAAATAACTATGTTATTTTTCATTATGCATATGATGCTTTCTGATCTAGCTTTAGCAGCATGACTTTGTACAGACAGTTTAATAGCCAAATGAGAAGTTCAGTGCCAACTCTTACTGTTTATAACTTGGCTATATTTGCTAGCAGAAAATAAAGCCTTGCAGGTACTGTTAGAAAACAGAGAGAGTAAACGTTAAACAAGTACTGGACCCTTGTTGAGCTCTGTCACTCAAACAGCTGTATTGACACTGTGCTTTCAGACAGCTCAGCACAATAGGCTTAGTTTGGTAAACACCAGAGTGTGTTGGTTTGATATAGAAGCTGTGTGTGAACAACCTGAACTGCCTGGCAGAAATGGCCAGGAGCTGGCAGGGAACCGACCCCAATTCAGTTCAGAAGTGCATTCACCACAGTCATGGGGGTGCTTCAGTCTGCTCTGGGCTGCAAATGGATGCAGGACTGCTGTGATCCTGCAGCTTACCTGGGCAGCAGGTGATTGACAGTACAATGAAGTGTGGTCTATTTGGGAAATCTGCTGAAGGTCCTGTCAGTGAGAAATCGAAGTACAGTTCCAACAATTCAAAAACCTGCTTGGTCATTGTTACTGGCCATCTTGTTGGGACGTCTCGTTTACCTTAAAGACAGACAAAACCAAACCAGCCCCCACGTGGCGTGGAATGTAAGGACCCTAGCAGACTCGGGGCTGGAACTTGTGAGCAGTGACGGTGGCTTTTTGCCCTTGCAGGACCACCAGCCCTTCGCCAACGCCCACGACGTGCTGGCGCGCTCGCGCAGCCGCGCCAACGTGCTCAACAAGGTGGAGTACGCGCAGCAGCGCTGGAAGCTCCAGGTGCAGGAGCAGCGCAAGTCTGTCTTCGACCGGCACGTCGTGCTCAGCTAAGCGGGGCTCAGGGAAGGAGCCCCAGGGATGTGCTCTGCTGCAAAGAGCTGACAGAAGTCTTCCTGATCCTGCCAATTCAGAAGAGTTTTCTTGAATGATTTGTTTTTGATTAAAAAAAAAAAAACAACAAATTAAAGAAGTGTTTGAACTTTGAAGGGATGTACTGGAGTGGAAGGAGTTTAAACACATTATTTAACCAAAAGCTTAAATCTTTATGTTTTCAAATGGCTTTTGCTAACAAAACTGGAAAGAAAACAAACCCTAAGATTCCTTGGGTTGCCACTGTGGTACATTATTTACAGTTGTGACTTTATGGTGGTTTTTAACTATATATTTCTCTCTACTATTTATGTGGTTAAAAAGTACCTGGGAACACAGTAATAACTTGCAACTCACTAATCACTTTATGTAAAAACCTTTTGTAAATATACTTGGATTTTCTGCTGATTGATGCTAGGTACTGGAAATCAAAATCTTGCAGTGTAGTTTTTGGTCTCGGAGAATGAAACCCTGCTGGCTGTGTTCATTTGGTTTCTTGCACTCGTACTTTCAAGATGCTTGTATGGCAAGTGATGTCTGCAGACTTGAGGCAAAACACAAGTAGACACTGACTCCTGGAGCTGCATATTTCAAGTACTGTGATGTAGATAAATTCAAATGCAGTGCACATTCAAGACAGTGTTGACATTTTGTTCTATTTTGCTTTAACAGCTTAATATATTGTAGGTGTATGATAGCTCTTATAAAATCTTTCCCTTTCTTTTCATGGGTAAAGTCTCAGGAGTTAGTATAAGATGAAATATTTATTATAAGAACCTTCCTGCATTTGTTTGGATTGATGGTGTAAGGCACATACTTTCTCTAGCACCTGTCATCTTGGGAGTTAGGTGTATTTTTTTATCTGTGACTCTGTACTCATCTCTCTTCAGAGGTTATACAGTTGCTGGATGACTAACTTTCATATATCCCCTTTGGAATGTAACAATTAAAGATAAAAGTGATTTTTGAAAAATAGTTCTGCATTATCAGTTTGTCATCATTTTTCTCCCTCGTTATGCTGCATGTAAATTCCATCTGTAAAAGTGCTCTAGACACATTTCAGAGAAGAATTGTGCACTTGTTCAGTGATTAGGTAAAGAAAGGCTCATCAGATTGTTAATTGAAAGAAGTTTTTAATCCCTGACTCAGGTGTAGCTGTGCATATATAGTTGCATTATTGTGGGACAGTTTTCAGTTCAGTGTGGAAGGAGGTGGTCCATGGATGAATACTCTGTTTCTGGGGGCAGTTTTGGCTTGCTTAGTCTGTGCCTGGGGGACAGCCAGGTACAGGGCTTTGTTTTCATGTCTGTCCTGTAGACTTCCAAACCTGACTTAACCTGGAGTGATTTAAAGCAGGTGGTGAATTGGTGGATTCACAGGATTCTTGCTTTAAATTTAAAAAAAAAAATGCACAAGGATTGTCAGGTCAAGAAAAATAAATTCAGGCTTTTTCTGTGTTTAAAGTGAAGCTATGGAAATCAGTTTGCTTATGCCTTGGCAGTGAATATTTACCTAAATTCTAGCCAATTTTTCTATTTAGATATTAGAGTACAAAATGCCAATAAATGAAAATACTGCTTTGTATTTTCATTACTATACTGTAGTAGTCTGCAACAGAAGGCAAACAGGAAGTGAACAAACCACATTCCTGATTACTTTTTCAGGTACTCTGGATGTGTTCAATAGCAGTTTCAAAATTTCTAGCCCTTAATGCCAAGTTTTGTTGCCATCATAGCTGTGGTGTGGGTGGAAAAGCCCAACCAGAAATGAGCAGATCTAACTGTAAGCTACTTTGCATGTTGTCAATTGACTATAAATTGCAGCAGTCATTCACTCAGTGGAACAAGCTACATAATTCAGGTAAGAGACTTGCACATTGCTGTATCTAGCCACAGATCTTCACTGAAGATCAATGTTCTTGTAAATCACTTCTACCAGCTGTTTACTAACAGTGTTCTCATAGCTTTTTAATGAATCCTGTTTAATGTGATCTCTTATTTAATAAGGTATAAGAAAAAATGTAACGTTAACATCTTTTTTTTTTTTTAATATCATTCAGATATTTTCAGGTACATCACTGTTTAAACAACACATCTTGTTTCCCTGGATTTTACTTCCATCTGAGGATTGGTGAGTCTCTAGTCTAACAGGAAAATGTTCCTAACACTTTGTGCAGGTGTTGAGGCAGCAGGTTTTATGTAACCTTGTTACACAGCAGAAGTGTTGGTACTAAGTAACAAACACTGCAATTATCTCTTCTTAAGGGGTTCTGTTGGTTGTGGTTTCTTCTCTAGAGTGATGTAGAGTGATAATTTTTTTTTTTTTTTTTGCTATGTGGCAGACTTTTCTTTCTCAGTGTTTTTAAGTTGTTTGCAGCAGAAAGGTTTTTTTGGCAATAAGCCAACCTGTATAAGTAGAAAAGGGAAAGTTGACTGTCTACTGTTTTCATTTTATGAGGAGTGTATATTCACATATATAAAAATAGGTGAGTTTTTTTGCATGTGTATTAATGTGAAATGCCACATTCAATATATGATCTTAACAGAATGGAAAACCTGTGCAGAGAATGGATTTCAATCTTCATTCCACATCTGTCAGGTATTACATCCACTCATACAAAGATTTACAAGAAGTTTAGAGACGAGAGAATTTCCATGTGTGCTCATGCTTTTAGCCTACCTACAGAAGTACCTTTTAAGATGCATGGGACTCCCACTCATGCCTAACAGCTATAAATTAATTCTTCACTTACAGGATTTCTGTTTTGAAATCTGTGTGCATTAGAAAAAGAGACAACTCTGCATACAGAGGCATTTTGATACAATATGTTGTGAGAATAGGTCCATACCAATAAATATTCTCTGTGTAAATGTGGCAGGTATGAAGTCATTAGAAAACTTTACATTATCCCCATATCCTTGTGAAGGATTTATGTTATGGAACTGTCATTGGAACATCTGAAGCTTTGCCAGATTTCTGTGAGTATGGAATCCAGCAGTGTCTGGTAATCTAGTTTAATGTTCAGGTGTGGATTCCATTTTAGAGGATGCAATAGACTCTTAAGTGCTTTGGACAACAGTGTATGGATGTACAAGTGGATGGTGAGTAAGAGCATTTTTGGATCTATTCTATGTAGGCAAGTATTGGTTGTAACCTGTGAGGGTGGCTCACAGTGGTTCTTTAAAAATTAGCTGGTTATTTAAAATGTAGTTACAGAAGCTATTAGGTAACAGTCATTGCATTCTCAGCAGTTAGGCTGATGTTTAGCTGTTTGAATAATCATATTGGGAAGGCACCATAATGCAGCTTCTTATAAACCACTGCAAGAGTATCTTTGTGATAAATATGACAGGGAGATTTGAGTAGTTAGACCTGCTTAATGCTGCTCTGAAGAGAGGGTGTGAGGGTAGGCCAGTCAGAGGTTTCCAGCAGGGCCCCCAACAGCTGTGTGCCATCCCTTCTTTGTGTTACTAGGACATGCATTTTTCCTTTAATGAAGTGTCCATTTCATAAATATGAAATATTTAATATCTAGCAGGAGAATTGTTTTTAGTATTTCATGTCTCTGTTTCATCTGCAGGTAGGTGGAGAAGGAATGTGAGGACCCAAGGAGGTGTTAGATTTAGTGGAAATTCTCTTGCCTCTCTAAACTTCTTGTAAATCTTTGTGTGAGTGGATGTAATACCTGACAGACATGGAATTAAGATTGAAATCCATTCTCTGCACAGGTTTTCCATTTTGTTAGGATGATATATTGAAGTGAATCAAGTGAATAGAGAGAAAAATAGTTTGTCTTTGAAGGCTCTTTGGTATGAACAGGGAGTCTTTTACTGGAATTGTAGATGTAGTTTTTTTCAGGGATGGGAAGGAAGTGAGGAGAATGCCTCAGGTGTTGGCCTGCTTTATTTGTTTGTAAGTTTTGGTGAGTTTGGAGCAAGCTAGACCTATGTGGAATGCATGTAGGTAGAGTCTCTTAATTTCTAAAGCTAAGGTGAAAGGAGACTGCTTTCTCTTGCCTTCAGGAAACTTTAGTGGCTTTATATTAATATCTGTTGTGTATTAATTTAATCAGTGTGACCGACTTGCACTTTCTTGTACTTTTCAAATGGCATGTCTTGTTCTACCTGATCTTCTGACATCATTCTGAAATGTCACAAATACATTAAAAAAATCTCTTCTGGAAAATGTCAGCAAGGCGTGGAGTTGGTAAGTCCAGGTGAGTTTTTTATGCTGTTAGTGTGAGTTGGTTTAAGTATTCTGTAATTATGTGTTCCCAGGCTAAATGCAGAACCTGATGGATGGCAAAAGCTACTGTAACCTCATCTGTGCTGAGGCTCAGCACATCCAGCTGGCAAGGCCTTTCTGTGCAGACCCGCTGGTCACGTTTCACGTGTACCCAGAAACACCAAACCAGGTCCCTTTGGCCGAAGATTTGGCATTCCTTCCTTTCATGTCGGAGCATCTCATCACGGAGACCTTCTACAGCGAGCCCTGCCCCTTTCCCTACCAAATGCCCCATTCCAGTCTCCACAAAAGTGAGTATGGGTCAGCTTTCATCAGGAAGAGGAATGAGAGGGAACGGCAGCGTGTTAAGTGTGTCAACGAAGGCTATGCCAAGCTGAGGCACCACCTGCCCAAGGAGTACTTGGAGAAAAGGCTCAGCAAAGTGGAGACCCTCCGTGCTGCTATAAAATACATCAGGTACCTGCAGTCTGTGCTGTGCACTGACTCTGTGGTGGCAGGAAAAGGTGTCACGGAGCCAAACCAAGCGCCTAAAGCCACTAACAAACCAACCCAGTTTTTGAATTCCATCTGAAGTGTTCCAAGCCAGCCAAAGGCATCCTGTCTGGGGATGTAGTAGCCACTGTGTCAGTGACGTGTGTGTTCCTGGCACTTCTTGGGAGCAGATCGTGGCACACGTCAGTATCAGCCCACACAAGAGCTTTAACGTTGCTGGTAGTTACTACACTTAGATATCAGAGGGACAACTGGGAAAATCTCAGCTGAATGACTTAAGTTAATTCATGAAAATCAGAACGACTTTCTAAATTTGTCAGCAAGCTAAAAATGTGATACCTGTATGTGTGAAGTAACTGTATGTGTCATCACAACCTGCATGCTTTAAAATAAAATCTCTCTGCTTATGGGACTGAGATTCTTCTCATTTTCTGTCATGTTATTGGTTTACTCTCACATGCACTTTCTTAAAATATTCACTCTAATTGCCAGTGTTTCTTTTAAAATGCCTTTTTAAAGGTTCTAAGGAGGGTTGTTAGATGCCAGAAGAAAGGATAATTTAGTTTAAAAGCGAGAAAATAGAGTAGGGTAGGAGCTCTTTCTGAACATAGGAAGAGCATAAAGTTTTGTGAGTGCTGTTCCATCATTTTCTTATTAGTGAACATTTTAATCACATTGAAAACTTTTTGACATTAAGTAATTTCTATTGAAAATTGGATTGTTGTACAGATGCCAGTGCCCTTAAAAATTACTAGGACTGCTTACAAAATACTATAAAGAGGACTGGCAAGCTTTTAGTCATCATCATAAAAATAACCTGCAATATAAATTTTTTTTGACTTTAATAATGGTTGAGGTCTGGAGTGGTCTTCCCCAACCTCCCAGTCTGTTCCTCTGTACTGCTGATGGTTTTAGTTAAGTGTTATGAAATAGAACTGTGTGAAGATGATGAAGAGAGATTAGCACATAACCAGTAAAATGTCTTAACCTTTACTCTGTGTAAGGGAATCATTGATACTAAATAATTCTGCTGACAGCATGAGAATTTTTAAGCTGTCAGTGCAGCTGAATGTACAAAAAAATGGTTACAGACTTCCCAGGTGATGTATCCTTCTCCCTAACTGCAGTTACATTGTTTTTGTAGCAGTGAATTGAAACATGCCTAAAAAAAGACAAGTATTCCAAGCACCTCCTCTCCCCACAAAACCACAAACAAAACCAACCAAACAAAAAAATCAACAAATATCAACTCTTTGTCTTTCTTTTACGGAGGATGTGAAAATTAGGGATCTTGCAGAGATTAACAGGTAGGTTTCTGCATTATAATATGACATATTTTTGATAGGCACTTTGTAAGAGAGGGGTAGAATTCATTAATCCTTCCCCCTTATTGTGAGAGGAGAAAGTTTTAAAGTGATTTGACCTTGGTTTGTCTCAGCTTCAACCTTTCTGTGCACATTTCAAACATGTTTATTTGTCACACCCTGTGTGGTGGTAAGCTTTTTTTAAGATTTTCCTTAACCTGAACTGTAACTTTGATGCTGGTTTTTGCCTTGCAGTCACATAGGCAGAAGCCTAGAGGACACTGAGCTCTCTTAAAATTCTTTCCCTGTGGTGCAGGAGATCCATGTGGGGTTGAAAATTGAGCGAATGTGTGGCAGTCAAATGCTCCTCTCTGAAATCACATTCTGCTGGGCTTTAACCAGTCAGGTCAGGATGTCCAGCCCTGGGAGTAACAGCTGTGGCAACCTCCCTAGCAACTGGGAAACACTGGCAGCAAAAGGCCCCCTGTGTCCAACAGGCAAAAGGGTGACATTTCTGCATCCAGACTAAATCCAGGTGGTGTATTGTTAGCAATAGCTGGTAAGTGTAAAATACTGCTGTGCCAAAGTACTTGGAGTTATCCAGAAAAAGCAGCATAATTGCCTTTGTCAGTGCACTGCTTTAGAAACAGGGGTGTTAAAATGTGCTTTAATGTAAAGCAATAGTTGCCTTTCTTTGCAAAGTATTACTGACTCCATCTTGTTTTGGTTTATAACAGCAATTTGTGCAGTTATGAAATAAATTGGTATATTGTGCTAATTTTCTGACTTAAATATGAATTTTTCAGCAGTTAATGCACTCTTCTTGCTGGATTTGCTGTGCTAGTTTTCTGAGATTATGTATCTATCTGGGAGTCTCCATAAAAAAGTCTTCCAGATCATATTTCTTAGATAAGAGACAAAATGTCATCTGAACATGAGTGCTTAAACTGCATTTTGTAAAATAAATTAAGCACTTAAATTTTATAGGTTGTTGAATTTCCATGCAAGTGTTGTCATAAGTGTTTCTAAGCAATATTTAAAAAGAAAAAAAATAATGGAAGCTTGTCTACTACATCTTTTGAAATTACCAGAGATAGAATCACATCATTGATCTTACAGTGACAGCCTCTGAATAGTTATCACTTGTCACATCTGAGCATCTCATTCTTTCTTGTTGCAAGCCATAATCCTACTGTTAATAAAGCATGACAGGACAGCTGAAAGATCAAAATATTTCCTCTTAATACATCATTATAAATAAATAACAGGGAAATGTAATCTAACATCAAATTCAAAACCTGTCACGTTTACTCAGCTTGTCAACTTCAGCTGTAATTTGTGTCTCAGCTTCTAAAACAGGGAAGGTTTGGCTGGGTCTGTACAAGAAAGCTTTAAAGGAAGAATGTATGTATAAGAAAAGAGAGCTGGAAACAAAGAAGGACAAAAATGTTGGAGGGAGGTGAAAGTTATTTTCCTGGGGATTTTCACAGCATTTATAGTTTCCTTGAGTGTTTTTTTCCAGGTTAGGGTTTGGGTATGTGAAGATCACTGAAGTCAGTCATGTGGGCTCATCTGGCCAAATGCCAGTCTGAATATTTTGAATTCAGTGTTTTTAAACAAAAATAAACATTTAATCAAAATTACTGGGTTCTTGAGGTACACTGGCCAGCACTTGCTTGTTGTCTTGTTTTTTTCCAACAGGTCACAGCCGAGTCCTGCAGGAAACAGCTTTTCCAAGTATGGCTCGTTTGGAAGGGTCCCTTCCCAGGGGTCACAGGTATTGCAGTGTGAGGCCAGTTTTGGACAAGTTTTCATGTTCCACTGTCATATCCACAATTAATCCCTGCTGCAGGAGCTCTTTTGTTATGTATCCTGCCTGGATTGCTGAGCACCTTGACCCCAAAAGGTAAAATAAAGTTCCTGCTTAAGTCTGTGATTTGCTTTTTGTTTATCTAAAGGGATAAACCAGGCTGGTGTATCAGATTAATAAATTAGCAGCTTGAACATCATTTGAGCTTTCCCACCCCTGCACTGGCACTTTTTTAAATGTATTAACTCAAGTTATTTGCTACCTTGGAGATTATGAAGAGCAAAACCTGAGTAAGCCTCCTGTCAAAGAAACATTCCTTTAATATTATTGGGATAAATAAAAGCATCTTGCCTTAGCAGTCATCTTCCACGAAATGTTGCTAATGCTTTGTGACAGGGGATTATTTTCCCAGTTTTGAACTAGAAGCTGTCATCAACTAGCAGCTTTATTGTTTATGTCTCTGCTTTGCTGTTCCCTGAATGCTGCAGTGTAAACCACCAGCTCCAGCACTCTGGAGTGCACCTATGCTGTGCTCTGTGCTGCAGATGGATCTTTTCCCCTCATCTGAAAGGTTGCATTGTCTTGCCAGGTAAACAGCAAAGGGGCTGGTGCAAGTAATGCTGGCCCAGGGTTCCAGCATGCTCCTGGCTCACTTCCTGTAAACCCCAAAGCAAAGAAATCAGTAAAATTGGGCACTGATGTGTTTTTCCCAGGATCAAGGAATTATCCCAGCACAAGCAAGTTTTCTATTTCTTCCCACACTGTTTGGCCTGTGGGAGTGCTACAAAATGAGGTGGAGTGTTCCAATTCTTAAACCTTACAAGATGACTTTTTTCATGACCTGCAGAATCTATTTCTTTCAGGGCTGACCCATTTTCTTTTATTCGAGGTGCCAATGCATCAGCCACTGCCTCCCCTCCCCTGGCCCAGCATGGAAGAGCCTGGGGGAATCAGGGGGCATGGACAGCAACGTGCCTGTGCTGGCTAGAGGGGAACAAGATGGATTTTATTACCCTGGTACAGTAAAAGAGGAGATACAGGTGAGTGATGGTTGCTCTGTGGTAGCTGGGGGCATGTGTAACAGGGAGCAGCCTTCACACACCACCTGAGTTCAGTGTAGCAGTTTTTGGTTCTTCAGTGTAGCAGGTTTTGGTTCAGTTTTTGATGAGATTAGAGTACAGCTCACCAGGGCAGCAGCCTTATGCTGGTGCTGATCACTGAGCCAGGCTGAGTCAGCCCCAGTTCTGCTGCCAGCAGTGTAGAGGCTACTGTTGTGTGTAGACAGAGAAGCAAACAGTACAGGCAAAGGGTTTGTGTTTTATGTACATATGTCCAGGTTGAGTCAGCCACAGACCAGGCTCAGGGTCTTTCCAGAAAGGGTAGTGAAAGCTTTAATTCATTGGTTTGTTAGCACTTCAAACTTAAACACAGAAAGGAGCCTGTTCTTTCTCAAGAACAGGGAAGTACATCATCTCATTGTTGATGGAAAGCCTCTTGACAAGCCTTAATAGAAAATAAAAAAATAAAAAAATAGAAAAGCAGAAAACAGAAAATAAAAATTCCCCAAGAAGCAGAGCTAGTGTTGTATGTAATGAGGAAGGACTTGGGCATGAGTGATGAACAGGTCTGAGTGGCTTTAGTGTCCCCTGTTCCTTGGCACATACAGCATGGTTTGTGAAATACACTTGTCTATAGCTTTTTCTCTTGGGAAAGAAAATACAGATCCTAGTGGCAGTGAATCTGAACACATGGCTTCAGTCATCTTGCTTTCAGGTGAGCCTCACAGAGGTTTTTTTTGGCTGTCTCAATGCTGAACATCACACACCCTAGCTGCTGTTCAGGCTTGTTTTGCCCTAGTCATATAGGCCCAGGATGGTCTCCCAGCAAAAGTTGCATTACCTGGCACATTATGGAGTGTTTTTCAGTGGAATTGTTATTTTGTTCCTGGTAACAGAGTGAAAGAGGCACGTTCCTGGTAGAGTTTGCCAAACCACTAGTGTCACGTGGAAGGCATCCAGTGTGTGTGCAAAAAACAGCACAGGATGACATCCTGGAATATGTGAATGGGATGAAGCACTCCTTGCTCCCTGGAGACAGAGTGCTGGCACCCTGGGAGCCAGATAGGGCCAGGTATGGCCCAGGAACTGTCCTCAGAGGCATTGAGACAAGGGATCCCTTACGAGGTAAGAAAAGTGCTGCTCTCTTCCTCCTCTTGTTCCTCTGGAGCACCAGTGAGGATAAACTCCTGTCAGGGTGCTGCTGCCAGAGAAATAACAGAGCACAGACTACAGCTCAGTGTTGCTTCAAGCTTGCAGGGGCTGATGGATATCTGTGTGTAAGCACACCAGTGTGACCCTAAGGAGGTTGTGACCCATAAAAATGTCATCATCTTTGTCCATGGGTGTAGCTGGGACAAGGCTGTGGCTGCCATGTTCAGGACTGTGGCCTTTTCATGACAGACACAAGTGAGACAACTTCCAGGAAGCATTCATCTGAGCTTAAATGCTCACATTTGTACCAAATGGTACATCTGGGGGTGATTTTATCACCCAGACGTAGGAGATTTCAGCAGCTCATTCATTTTCCCTGTGTCTGACAGTCAAGCTCCACTGACTTACCAAAATACTATTCTCAGAGCAGTACTGCTAAATTTGGCAGCAACAACAAAAATTACTGTCACAGTTTTCTTGTTCCTCTGATGACAGATTGGGAGGAAAGATGCTGCCAGGCCTGTTGTTTTAGCCATGGTGTCCAGGCTGCCCACTCACCTCTGTGACACTGTGGTGAGGTGTTAGAGAAGGGCAAGAGTTGATCCTGCCTCTTGACAGGAGCAGAAAGTGCATAAAGCTGCAAAGCCTGATCTGTCTGTGTGCACTGCCCAGGCAGGCCAGCTGCTTAAGGCTGCTTGGTTTTTCTCTTAACAGCCTCAGAAGATGAAGAAATTACAGTCCATTTCTGGAATGACAAGCAAGTGAAACTCCCCCGTGGTGTGGCTCTGTGGATCCCTCCTAGCCTGTGGGAGAGGATTGTGGAGATGATCCACATGCCCTTCACCAGCAGGCTGAAGCCCAGACCAAGCCAGGACTCTAACTCTTGTACTTGTTCCTGCAGTCCTAAGGCAGCCCTGATTCCTCTTTGTGCTCTGTGTAGCCTTGCCAAGCACTGCTTTCTCCGCTCTCCCTGCTGGCCACATTTCCACCACCACTGTGCTGGTGGTGTCTGCTGTTCATCAGCCTGGGGAAGGTGCATCTACTGCTGCCATCCCTGTGCTGGTGCCTGGTGGCCTCTTCCCTCCAGGTCTCTGGTCTTTCAGGACAAAGCTGAAGAGGCAGAGTCCAGCAGTGAGCTCTCTCCAGGCCTTCTAGAACTGAAAGGCACAAAAGAAAGAGAAGCTGCAGCTGTGGCAACATCTTCTCCCTCTTCTGATTCAGAGAGGGACCTGAAGCCATCCCCCACTAAGAGTACTCTGGGGGACAGTGCTGTTAACTCAGGCTCCGGCTGTCTTGAAAAGCCCAGGCTAAGGAATTCTGCAAGACCTGAGGGGGAATACTGGAAAAGAAGCTACCACAAGTCCCATTCCAGTAATTCAGGTACCTTCAAACAATCCCACAAGGAAGCAGATGTGGAGAGAACAAAACCAAAAGGCTTCTGGGCAGGGCAATCACTTTGCAGGTTATTTGTATTAATACTGTAAATTTGCACATCAGACTCTGATAAAATTCTTTGCCCTCCCCAGTGTTTCTGCTGCCTCATCTGGCTCTTCTTTTGGCCACTCATCCCACGGAAAACTACCAGAACAATGAATTACATTTGGAAGCATAGATATTCCTCTCTGTTTCTTGTAATTTTTCTATGCCTTTTATGATGCTAACATCTTCATTGACCTGCATAGCTCACCCATTCAGAATAACCAGAAAAAATTCCTTTCAGGTTTAAAGTGCATTTTTCTCTCTTCTGAAATGCATGTTTCTCCATTTCAGTTCTGGTTTCACTCTTTCTTAGATACAATTTTACTCCTTCTCAGGACCTGGAAGTTGTACAAAGGACCATCTGGAATCCAAAGTCATCTCCAGTGGGGACATGTCCAGTGTGGCCCCAGCTCAGCAGAATGCAATGTTTGAAACCACTGAGCAGACTCCCAGAGGGCAACTTACACTGAAAAAAATCCTAAGAAACCAAGATTTCAAGCCATCATTGAGGGTAAGATAATCTGTATTAATTCTGTAGTTATGTAAGCAGGAGGTTTGTTTGGATGGAAAAAATCTTCTTGTAAATGGTTTGGAACTTGGCAAGAAAAAGACATTGTTTGTAACTGCTTCCTGAGGCCATCCACCAGTTTTGTGATGGGTAGGAAAGTTCTCCACTAATGAAACCCCAACAAAAATCCCCAAGCCTTAAGGAAGTGCTGAAGCTACTTGGTAAAATGAAAACAAATGTCAGCAGCCATGTGAGCATTCAATAATACAGATTTCAATTCAGAAACCTGCCAACTGCCCATTGACATCTACCCAAAGTAGTCCTATGATAAATCCATGGAAAATTGCTGAGCTCTGCCTATCAAATTGTGATAGTCACAATTTCTGTCTCTGAGAGATAGAAGCAGATTCTTTGGTAAATAGTCTTTGCTGAGTTTCTTCTCTTCCTCATTAGAGACAAGCAGTTTAAACAGTAGATTCCTGCTGTGAAGCTGGGGGTACAGAGTAAGAAAACTGTGTCACAGCTAGGAACAGCACCACTACCCTGGTTTTTAGGCTGGTTTCCCTCATGCTTTAGAAAAACTTGAAAAAAAATCATAACATGAATGCTAAAAAAAGCAAACACAGAAATGAAGAAAAAACTTACAAGAAGAAGGGGAAGATGAAAGAGAATGTCAGGATGAACAGAAACAGTGCTCTGCACAACAGCATCAGGGTAGAATTAATAAATTGTATTCATGAAATCAAATATTAGCTTCTCTGTACCTTCATGCTGTTGGCACTGTGAGCTGACTGCAAAGTAAAACTTGAAATGTGCTAAATAAGCATGTTTAGAGATGAATCCATTAATAACATGTCTTGGTGAACAGAGAATATACAGGAATACATCCTGTATTCTCACAGTTGCATTCATTCATTTTAAGCAGATGCCAACTTATCAGCTGTGTGGTTCCTACTTTCTATTCTACGTTATTGGTTAGATAATCATAGTTACATAACCACACACCTTTGTGATTGATTTCCTAGGAATTTTTAGGCCAGTATGGAGCTCCAGGCAGGCATGCTCTATGTAAGCAGTGGCAGAGCTGTGCACTGAATGACATGAATTGCCTTTTGGTAAAACTAATAAGAAAGCAGAATTGTTTCATTCCAGCCCCAAAGCAGCAGCATGAATCACAGTAGTGGATGCAACATGGCAATACAGGGTATAATGACAGAATTTTATTCCTGTAAAATAGCCCCTTGGTGATTTTAAACCCAGAAGATCCATTGCTACTCTGAGATAGCTGAAGCAGTTTTATCACATGCTGCAGGCTGCATCAGAAATGGCTTGCAGCAAACAGGTGGAGTGAGAGGACAGGCTTCCCAGAGGTACTCTCTGGGGGGCTGATGTCCCCCCACTGCAGTCAACAAAATCCTCCTGACTTCTGAAGTAGAAAAGTTTTTAATCAAAGCCTAGCAGCTTCTGAAAATCCTTTGGTCTTGCTGTCCAATTGTGTGTTTCAGCAGTAAAGTTTGTGCCAGCCCAGAAAATAGACCAGTATTAAAGCTATGTAAGGCAGAGGTACAGCCAGCAAAGCAGCAGTTAACAAAGACACTGATGCTTTTTTAAGACCAGACTTCTGAGGGATTTGTTTTCTGTCCTCCAGGAAGGCTTTGCAGCATCAGAAGAACAAAGATACAAAGCAGCATCAGATGATAAATGTGAAGTGACTTGTGCTGGAGCTGACAAACCTGATGTTACAGACTGTCAGAGCTCACTTGCAGCAAAGCAGAGAGAGACATGATCAACCAGAATTCAGTACATGTACAACTGATCAAGTTCAGGGGCTGAAATTTCAGGTAAACTGCTTCTACTCTATCAGTGTTATATTTTTTAAACAAATCAAGTTCTGCTTCAGGTACTGTCTCAGCAGAATATCTTTATGGATGACTATATAATTTTAATAAGTGAGAAACTCTGCTTTCACCCACATTAAACTTGAGCATCCTCATTCTTTATTCCAAAGTGCTACAATAAATTCCTAACTATTTGGACTTGACTTTACAATTCTGGAGAGTTCAGATGAGCTAGCAGGAGCACTAAAAGCCTGAACAGATGCACAGCTAGAGTCCAATAAACCTCACATTTGTCTGCAGTTCTCTGGAGTGAGCCACAGAAATTCATCAAAGCAGTTTCTGTTTGTAGAAAGCCAGGAGGAATGGAGAAACAATACAAGCTGACAGCTGAAAGATTTTTTTTGGGAATAAAGCACAAGCAAAAGTAGCCAGAGGCTAAAGGACCTGCTACTGTAGATACAAACAACAAAATGATTAGCATTCAAGCCACTGATTTTTATATTATGATGAAAATGAATGGAAACCTTAATACTATCAGCTACAAAAAGATGACAGATCACATCACTAGTTCTAAACATGGAATCTGGTCCTTTGGCAAAGTTAAGCATCCAGGGAGTTTTGTTGGTGGGATTGCTCATGTTTAAAGCATATGAACTTGGCCATAAGCTGCAGTGTGCAGTTGCTTAGCAGTAAATTGGAGAATTTAGGGTACCCCACATCCCTCAGAAAAGGGGTTTAGCATGGTCTGCAAAGAGACAGAACCTGAATCAATAGCTCATGTGCCTAGACTGAACACCTGACACATCTTTCAGCACATTTCTGAGTTGGGGCTCTAGGTAGTGAATTTCATGAAATTTCATGTTTTTACCAAACTAGCAAAAGTACAGATAGGAGAGTGGCTTGTGAGCCAGCTGCTCTAAAATCAGTGCCAGCCTACAGAAGCTAATGTGCACCCATATTCATACCACATGGATCATGCTCTCTCTGGTCAACACTGTGACACTGAGAACATTGGGGTTCTCTCTGAGGATAATACAAAAGACGCTGTCATCACAAAGGCTTGATCATATATTTTATTTCACTGATTGTATCTTAATTGTTTAGAGCAGAAGAATCTGAAATTACAGTCACATAATTGGATTTAAAAGGCACACAATGTACAAATATTTATAAAAATCAGTGTACAAAGTGGGCTGCATATAATTGCATTAACTAGAAAACAAATGTACACGCTATAAAAATGGAGTCCCAAAGAGAAAGGTGCTATTAAAGTGCTAACAAGAAAAATATATTTATAGCTCATTACACGCATTAAAAAAAGCCTCATGTTTTATTCCTGCTATTGCCAGGAAACAACAAATATCACAGAACAAAAGTTAAATCAACACTTTGTCCTGCATTGACATCTACTACATGGGTTTGTTCCACCATGTCTTCTGAGATTGCTGTGACAGAATAGATGCCAGGAGAAACTTCAATGTAGAAATCTTTGGAAGGTCTTCTGGGCTTTAAAAAAAAAAAAAAAGGAAAAAAAAAACCTATGTTACTGGTTAGTTATCTTAGATTTCCCAAAAAAGTTGTGTTTGGGTAAAAACTTTACATTTCAGCTGCTATATAAATATATGAAGATTTTTCTAAATATATAGAAGGCAGTGCAAACAAAACTCTAAAATGTTTCTATTAGTACAAAAATTAACAAGTACCATACTCAAACTATTCCAGGAAATATATGAAGATTTTTCTAAATATATAGAAGGCAGTGCAAACTCTAAAATTTTCTATTAGTACAAAAATTAACAAGCACCATACTCAAACTATTCCAGCTAATATTTCAATTGGTGCAAGTAACCACTGTGCTGTAATTTATGTCTTAAAAAACTGAAATTTACCAACCTAGACAGTTCTGAACATAAACCTGGGAATTCCCACTCCCTATTCCAAAGGTGCTCTCACTAATTAATACTGTGGTACAGATTCAGTGTTTCTCATCTTTTGTGGCTTAGAAGTTCCTGAAATTGATTAGCTGAGGTGTTAAGCTTTGAAAGATATAACCAGTTTTCTTCTCCTTGAGGAACAGGAGTCTTCAGAGAGCCTGTGGGAGGGCCAAGTGTGAGAAACTGGTTTCTAACTAATTGTGCAAGTCTCTGTATGGCCATTTGCCTATACATGTATTCTGATTGTGAATGCACCACTGGTTAATCTTCTGTGCCATCAAGGTCTCCAGATCTGTCACAATTTGTAACCAGCTTGATTCAAAATGATAAAAGAAATGCTAGCAAATACCTCCACTTAAAGCTAAAGTATTCTATACACTTACCCTTTGCCGGCAAGTTTGAGCTTGGCTGGGTTCGACAGAACCTTCAGTCCTCTGGAAAAAAAAAGTAAATTATTTTCTAATGATCCAGCACGCAATGCAAATCCAGGCCAAGAGAGGGGAAGCTTTAGGTGCATGAAGTTTTCCCCTCCACAAAAGGATGGATAGGACACTGACTGGTGCCACAAGAAGTGACTCTGCCTTCCCCCAGCCCAACACAGGCTTGGATCAGTGCAGGTGTTTTTATGTCATGAGGTCAATCTACATCCTAGCATGAGTGTGAGTGTCACAGACATCAGGTGGATAACAAATGCCCTATAGCAAGGGAAGGAATAACCTTTCATCAAAACCAGAAGTACTTACTTACCTCTTCTTCTGTGGGATCCATCTTTCTTTCTACTGACTTGCCATGGTATTTGCAGAAGTGTTTGATTTCATTCTCCTTGCACTTGTTGGCTGCCATAGACCCATAGCACTTCTGGACAGAAACAGAAAATATCATGTGAGGGTATTAAACCATACTTGCAGCCACTGCAAATTAACAATTGAAAGCAGGACTACACAAATACTGATGCTGTGTACTAATTGGCTGGTTTGTTCTCTCTGAGGGTGAAAACAATACCTGCACCTCCAAAGGCCACCTGCTTTCTGCTACAGGACTCTCTCAGACCGGCCTGATTTTGATGCCTGTTTCCTAACACAATATGCAGGGCAGGGACTCTGACACCTCAGAACTGAATTAATGAAAATGTCAGAAGGAATACTCTGGAACTGCCTGCCTGATCAGGCTGGTCAAGAAAAGCCCTGGTGGAAGAAGGCATAATTTATGGTTCCTTAAGAGGACATGTGTGCAAGCCAGTTGCTCTGCAACCCAGTCAGTGAAGATGGGTTCTGCAGGGCATGTGCAGCAGCAGTGCTCTAAAAGCAGAATATGTTAATACTGAAAAATGAGTCAGTGAAGAAGCTGAAGTGTCTTCAAGGCTGGTACCATTTTCACAGCAGTTTTGGGAAGTGTGTTTAAGCACACAGCAGCCTTCTTCTGCTTGCACTGCAGATGTACTGGCATCTTCCCCACTGCAAATTAAGCTCTTGAGTACGGTTCTGCTGCCATCTGTTGTCAGCACAGAACTTTTTGATAAGGTAACCAAAAAGATCCAAAATATCTTATTTCACTGGTGTTTTTCTTGTCTCTGTCAAGACTAAATGTGACAAAATTAAGGCAAACAGCAATTCTTATTTCCACATCTACTGCTGTGCTTTATTCCTTGAGCTTACACACAAATCAACAGATCTGGTTGCTTATATTGCAGTTTTTGTGAAGCTACAAAATATATCAAATGCTCTGACCTGGTGCATAATGCTTCACAGAGCATCTCTTTTACCTGATGGCACAGAGCAAAAAAGTGAAATCCAACTTTTGGTGAGAAATGAGTAAATTTTGATCCCTTAGTGAATTTTGATCCCGTAAACTACAAGTTTAATTGTTTGCATTCAAGTGCCTAAATGGTTGTGTTCAGCTGTGGATTTTTATTTGCACTTTGTAAAATTTACCCATGGGTCTGACATTTCCCCCCTTTTATGACTCTTCTTCTCTACAGAAATGACTGAATTAGTACTGTCTTGGCTGATGCATAAATGTGGAAGTCATGCATTGCTTGTTCCAACTTTAATACTCTTTAACAGGACACAAGATAGACCCAAAAAATAATTTAGGTTGGAAGACACCCTTAGGATCATAGAGTCCAACTGTAAACCTAGCACTGCCAAGTCACTGGTAAGGATGAGGCTCACTACACTTTGTTTTGTCTTGTGTAAAACTCTATTCTGCCCCAGTTGTTCTAGGATTAACTGCTTACTGTGTATGTAGTGCTTTGAAATTATAAAGGAGCTGCTTAAGAGCTAATCACTTGGTGTGCTGTGTTTTCTCTAATTTAATTGCAGATTTGGGCTCTGTATTAGCCCTGCAGGCAGTGAGCTCCCTGCTGAGTTAGGATAACAGATCCCTAAGGGCACAAACTGAATGGAATTCCCAGAGTTCAGTGCAGTAGCTGGGCTGCAGGGCTGTGCTCACAGGGATGGGCTGGCAGAGGTTGGCTCCAGTGTGCCCACCCAGCAGAGCACTGGCACCTGCCAGCCAGAGCCAGCACGAGAGCAGTGGAGCTGAGCACCCGCACACCAAACCTCTCAATTCCTGCTCAGCACACACTGAGAGCTGAGCCCACACTCCTTACCCAGCAGCAGCATCCCAAATCCAGTTTGGCCTGGTTTTGTCTGGGATAGAGCAAGTTTTCCTCCTAGTAGCTGGCAGAGTGCTGTGTTTTGGAGTTAGTAGAGTACAGTGTCGATAACAAACTGATGTTTTGGTTATTGTTGAGTAGTGCTCACCCTAAGCCAAGGACTGTTCTCATGCTCTGCCACTGGGGAGCTGCACAAAAAGCTGGGAGGGAGCAGGGCTGTGACAGCTGACCCAAGCTAGCCAAAAGGAAACTCCATACCATGGAATGTCATGTGTATAAACACGCAGAGTTGCCTGGGCACTGGTCAGCGAATGGTGATCAACTGTACTATGAATGACTTGTTCTTTGCGGGTTTTATTTCTCTCTCCCCTTTTCATTACAATTATTATTGTTATTATCATTGATATTATAATATTTTACTTTGTTTCAATTAATAAACTGTTCTTATCTCAACCCACGAGTTTTATTTTCTCCAGATTCTCCTCCCCATCCTGCCAGGGGAGGAGGACAGGGAGGGAGTGAGCTGTATGGCACTTAGTTGCTGGTGGGATTAAATCACAACAGCAACACTAAATTCAAAACAAACACAGGACACAAGGCATCTCTGCACTTGAGATTCAAACTCTCCCTTATTTCCGGCACCCAGAACAGGATATCAGCCAGCAGGAGTGGCTCACGTTCCCCCAATAACAAAAAAGGTTCCTATGTCATAAGGCCATTTCCCAGCAGAGATACTTTGGAGCACTGGAAACATTCCATACCTTGTGACACAATGTATTTTATGATGCCACCTGACACATTTCTGTCTCTCTACTGCGTTTCCACCAAGAAATGGAGAAACCTTCTGCTAAAATCTATACCGGTAGTGTCTATAGAAAATGCAGGTAGTGGAACCAGCTCAGCCGGCCAGGACAGCACCGGTGACATGTACCAGGCCATATGATGCTCAATGCCCCAAATTTCATCCCGGCCGGCTCCGCAGGCTCACTGCCTGAACCCTTGCCATACAAGGAGCACTGAAGCCTCATTTTTGCGGTAAAAGTAGCGAGGCCTCTGGCAGGCACATCATGAGCGTTCCCCTTTGGTCGGGCCCGGGGCGATCCCTCACCTCGCACTCCTTTGAGACTTCTCTCATCAAATTCAAAATCGAAGCGAACGCTGCATTGAGGCGTTCCCGGTCTCGGTCCTGCAACGAGAGACATTCCTGGTCACTCAGCGTGCCGCCCGGCGCTCAGAGCCACGGGCTGGCGGGCACGGAGCCGCAGAGCCCTGGGGGCGGCTAGCTCAGCGCGGCGGCGTGTCCGGGCGGGCCCGCGGCCCGTACGGAGATGCATCTCCGTGTTATCTCCGTGCATCTCCCGGTCTCTGTCCGTATCTGTGCGCGTGTCCCGCGGGTGCGCGCACGGCACTGACCGGGGCCGGGAACGCGCCCGGGGGGCGCCACCGCCCCGGCCCCGCCCTCAGCCCGGCCCGCGGGGCACCGGGGCGGCTCCCGCCGGGATCCAGCCCCGCCGAGGGCTCCGGGGCTTTGTTTGAGCCTTACGCCCGCGCCCTGCCCTGCGGTAACGCAGGAGAGGCGCGTCCGGACAGGCTTTCCCGGAAAGGGTCAGTGAGGTGCCCCCGGATGCTGCTCCCCGCTGAGCGACAACGGGGAAGAGCCCGTGAAAGGCGGAGGTGCGAGCCCCGCCGTGCCCCGTGGGCTCAAGGGGGAGCGGTGCTCCCGCCGCCTTTTGGTTCAAGTTTGGCGGCCGAGCTCACGGTGCCAGGAGGGGGCGATGGGCGGCCGGGTGGCGCGGTGCGGGTCCCGGAGCCAAGGCCGCGGCGGGCAGAGAAGGGCTCGGGCCCCGCGAGCAGCGCTCGCCGAACGAGCCGGTTCTGTCCGCGGGAGCGGGGTCTGCCCCAGCAGGGCAGCGCCAGGCCGCCGTCACCGCTCCGAGTTACCGGAGCGGCTTGGGAAGTGGCGGTGGCTACGAGGGAGCAGAGCCGCTTTGAGCCTTCGCTAACCCCGTGTGCACCGAGGTGAAAGTAGTGAGGAAAAATAAGCATAAAAACTTTCTTTACGTCCCATATGGCCAAGGTTAACATGGAGACCCTGATCCTTCAAGTCCTTCATTCTTGTTGAGAGCTTTGCTAGCTGTAATCTTTTTGACAAGCATGAAAAATAATCCTCTCCGAGTTTACATTTTATATTGTCATCTCTCAGTTGCTTAAGCAGAGCAGCAGCCAGCCCTCGAAATAAACAAGCCCTTCACAGGCTGCTTGTTCATTAAGACATTGAAAGCCCCCATTCAGTGTTCAAATCCAGCTTAACTTTTAAGTTTGGTCTCCTGTCCTCAAAAGAAAATTTAGGCAAGTTGCTGGAGTGCTTGAGGTCTGGGGAACTGAATGCAACATAAAGTGGGGGAGAAAAACAATATTTGATAAAAGCAATGTTAGTGTGTTTGATGTGGTGGAGAAGCAGCCAGAACAGACCGCTTCCTGCTTAATTGGAAGTTGAACATCTTTGCATCGTGCCTTGTTAGCAATGGTCTCCTGCAGAGGTGAGTGGGTTTGCTATGTTGCTGCTCTTGTGAAATAGACTTGGAAAGGCCTTCCTATGTCGTTTTCATAACACAGAGAGAAAACTGCGTTCATTTTTTATTCCTGCCAGGTACTTGTAGCAGTAGCTTGTTGTTCAGGAGGTAAATTACTCCTGTTGTGTTGAAATTTAAACTCCCACCATTTTTTGATGTTTGGTGACACGGTACTCCTTTTGCAGCTGAATAAATACATCTGTCCCAAGAAGGCTGACAGCTGAAATAGCTTTTCCTTTGAAACACACATTCACATCAGAATCCAGATGAGAGTTACCCTTATTTCCTGTACATTCATTCTTTTGAAATATAATGGAGGTTTGTGAAATGCTGGGCATTTCCACCAGATTCTTTGTTGTGTGGGTTGATGGATCAGAATATCTGAAGACAATGTATTTCATTTTGCTGGTGAGGTGGCAAAAGCCAGGAATAGTTTATCCTGAGAACAATGAATTTCATTTTACTGGTGAGGTGGCAAAAGTCAGGAATAGTTTATCCTGACCACTTGCTTCTGGGCTCAGGGAAGTATCCTTGAGTAAGAAAACTCATAAGCATTTACCTGATGCTATTTTCTTCCATTTCAAAGGAAAGAAAGTCAGCAAGTGCTTAAAAGTTCCAAAAACGTGTAGTGCTGGAATTTGTATTTAAAATTGCAGAATACACGCTGCTCTTTATTTTTCTTCTGTATCTAGAATCATTTGGTTAATCTATTGTGAAGTGACTTGTTTTATCAATGCCTACATAACACTTTAGGATCTAGGAGCAATTTTGCAGTCCTCGTGGTCCTGCCAAGAGCTAGCATCCCGCCTCTTCTGTATTATTTTATATCAAACCTTTTGGGTGGGTTTCTCGTCTGCCAAACCATCAGAAGCCGGTGTGCCAGGGAGGTGGCCCGCACAATGCTGTTGGCGGCCGGCGCACACAATGTGCCATGCAGGGGCTTTCCTCCCCCCGGGTACGCGCGATGCCCTGGGGGTCCTGGCTGGGCCATGCCAGCGAGCGGGACACCTCGGGCTGCGCTGCCCGGGGAGCTGGGCATTCCACATTGCTGCCAGGAGCTGCTCCGGGGGGCTGCATCGGGACCGAGGTACCGGCGCGAAGCTGAGAGGCACGCCGCTGCCTCCCTCGGCCTCCGCAGGTGCTGTTAGCGCTCCGAAAGGCGCGGCAGCTCCCCGGTCCGCAGCTCCCTGCTGGGAGCCGTCTGCCCCGCGCCTGGCGCAGGAAGCGCGCCTCCCGCACTCCTCCTTCCTTCCGCTCTGCCCCGCAAGCGGCTCTGCCCCGAGAGGAGCCCAGCGCTCGGAGTGTTTTAAATAAAAACCGAGCGGTATCGCCCCTCCGGGCTAGAGCGAGGAGGAAGGCTGTCACTCAGGGAGCTCGGTCCTCTCCTCCTCCTGTGCCCATCGCATCTCCCCGGCCCTGCCTGGCTGCTCCCTTCCCTCCCGCCTGTCCGGGACCCGGGCTTGGGGCTGGGGGAGGCGGTGCCCACCCCTCCGCGGGGCCGGGGCAGGGGCGAGAGCTGCCGGCGAGAGCGGTGCTCGGCAGCCCGGGGCTGCAGCCCGGGCCGGGCTGCGCGGCGCTGGGGGAGCAGGTTTCTTTGTTGGCTGCCGGGTGACTGGTTCCCATTAATCTCCCGCACTGGTCGTGGCCGTCTCCACTTCCTGCCTTTGCATACTTCTCTCTCCCTCGATCTCAGTCCCTTCCCACCCCCTTCCCTCCCCCCTTTCTTTCCCTCTTCCCAGCTTCTCCAAAAAAGCTACAATCGCCCGGGCTGCGGGACGGGGGCTGCAGGCGGCCGGCGGAGGGAGCGCATCCCTGCGCACCTCGGTAAGGGCCGGGGAGGCGCGCTGCCGGGCGGTGGTCGCCTCCGGGGACCCGGGCAGGGGAGGGCGACTGGGGGGACAAACGATTGCTTGCGCTCCGGGTGGCCGTCCCTGCGCGCCGAGAGCTTCCCGCGAGCGGGGCGGGCCGGGGATGCGCGGCGGCGGCGGGCGGCGGGGGCTCGCCGGGAGCTGCGGCTCCCCGGACCGCGGAGCCCCCGCGGCAGCGGAGCCGCCGGAGGCCGTGCCGGTGCGGGCCGGCCCCGCCATCCTTGCGGGACCCTGCCCTGCCCTGCCCCGGGGGAGCGCAGATGGGCGGGGGTCCTTGCGCACGGGCGGAGCGGGAACACTGGCGCTCCCGCACCGGTGCCACCGCCGTGCCTCGCGGGACGCTGCTTTTTGCGGGGGCGGCGAGGGCAGGGGCACCGCGGAGGGACAGAGCCCGCGGGACCACTTCGGCCGGACGGGGTAACTCCAATCCGGCTGGGGAGCCAGCGCGCCGAGCGTGGGGCTCTGAGCTGGGGGAGACGGGGAGCTGCTGCGCTTCCCTTCCAATGCCCACTCGCATCGTCGGTCCGGCCGGCTGCGGTGTTTGTGTGCGTGCTGAAAAGTGCAGAGGAGCCACCTGGACTCCGGCGGAAGACTTTAGGATCCCAGGACAGATTTGGCTGAAGAGCTAAGGGAGTACTGCCGCAGTTCACTTGGTGGGAAAATCAGATGTCCTGCTCTTGGCTTGGTACCAAACGTTTGCGTTACTAAGGTCACTGCAATCAAAGAGTAGCGGTTACATATTAGAGAGCCTTCTTGTGTTTACTCCAGCTTTATCACTCAAATGTACTTCGAATTTAGTAGTCAGGCTGAATGAAGCCGGGTGCATAGTATTACTGCATGGAGTATGTCAGTAGTAGCGTTTTCTACACCCTGTACTGACTTGGGGAATAGGTTTTCTTTCATTTTTATGCTGGCTAGTTGGATTTAACCTCAGGCATATATTAAATAATCCAATAGAATTGGTGTGATCAAAACCCATGGAAGATGAAGGATGAAACTGTTGTAGTCTGGTTTTTGATGACAGGATGAATTGAAATAAGGTTGATTTGCCTTTAAGTCTTAAGAATGTTTTGTTTATACATGATTAATTTATAGTTGGTGGATTAAAATTTCCATATAGTGGAAGGGTAAGTTAACAGGACAAAGGTAGAAGTATCATGCATTTAAGGTTTGAGGAAATCATTTATGTTTTAGGAGCACCAAAATTTAATTTTCATTGTGGTGATCCGGTTGTGCAGGTGACATAGTGGAAATCTGTTACCAACTTGACATGTAAGAGTAAGATTTATGGGTTTGACTATTCATTTCCCTCTTTCTTTAAGATTAGTTATTTAAAATAAAGCTGTAACACATTTATAGCAATGGTGATGTCTTTATTGAGTTACCCAGGAGTATAGTCAAGCACCTTTTAAAATTAGCTACAGTATGTGCACTGCTAATGGTGACGAGACTGACATAGAACTGATATCTTGTTTCTGGGGTGGAACCAGTTTCCTCAAGAGTATGGAGTGAAGAAAGGGGCTTTTGGGAAAGGTTGACAGGGATGGTGGTGCTGGGTTTCACTGGGGCATGGAAGCTGTCCTGCTCCTAGAAGGATGTAGCATGTGTTCTCCTCTTGTGTGCAGAAATAAGACAGCCCTGCCTGGCCTGGCTTTCTGCTGCACCCTTCAGGGTGCTAAACTCCCCCAGCCAGCTTGTGTGGCAGAGTCACTGCCCTTCCTGGCTCAGGGGGAGAGATGCCTTCTGTCCTGTCCTACCCCTGCAGCATGTTTGTGCTGTGGCTGCCAGCATGTGCTCCAGGAAGCTCGGGATCAAGCATTGCTCTTTCCCTTTAAGCAAGTGCCTTCATGTATGGTGTATCTTTTTAAGGAGTGTGTGACCCCCTTATTATTGGTGACCCTGTAAACCATTGTGTAATCTGTTGACTGTAACATACCATGCCAATTTATTCTTGGTTGGGAAGTCTTGCCAAGGACTTGATGGAATAGCATGATTTTGTCCACTTTA